TAATCACCGAGATGACCTTAGAAGAATGTCCATAATTGAACTCAAAGAGAAGTAAAGCTTCAAACAAAGACGAAATTAAAAAAAATATCAAGACACTGGTAATAAGTATACCATACAATAAAAAAGACACTTAAACTAAAATAGAGTTTCAATCCAGAAACTTAGGCCACGCCAAATTAATACCTCGTTCGTCGGATTCCCCGCGTGTTGTGAAAGGTCGAACAGAAAGAAGTACTTTTTTAAAAACCCGCGTCCAGTACTGAGCCGTGCGCGTCTGTCTCTAAATTTATGAAACAGAAATTTTAATCAGTTGTGCGTTTGAAAGTAACGCCATACTGACACGGAAATTGACATAAAAAACGATCTAGATCAAACATTCACAACGTTGTTGTTACAATATTATTACCAAATTTAGTATGATAAACATTCTTAACGTAAGCCATTATAGTGGAATATTTGTAGTTACATTTGTAGTTACAGTGGTGACGCAGGCACACAATTCTGAAGAATATGATTTGGGCAACTATTTAACCGATTTGTTGGAAGTGCTCCGTGAAAGACCTCAGACGTTCATAACATCAAACTACAATTACGACCCAGGAAATATGACAGTAATTATAAGACCAGCTACAACTACCATCCCTTAAAGATCGTCGAACCCAAAACATACTTATCATCTTCTGCAAAGGCATACACGGTAAAGCCAACTTGCCTTCTGATCAACTGAAAAAAAAACAACATCTAGGACACCAAGAACATGCATTATGGCCAACACTTCCTGTGACTGCAAACAAAACCAGGCACATTAAAATTCTGCTTCATACCAAACACAATAAAAAGATTGGAACCTACTACCACCGGATATTTTCACCAAGATTCAAACAGCAGAAGAGCCAGCTAAAAGTTTACACTTTCGGTGATATTGTAAGGGGTGTCCACCTTATTTGAATTACTTGACTCACGCGCGAGGTAGTAATATCCTTGAATGATTCACAGTATACCTATGATGATCAAGATCAAACGACAAAGCAATGACGTCACCGAACTAAAAGATTTAAATTATGACAATATAACACGCATAAGAATAAGAGAGAATCTCAAAGCTGATGTCACATGAATTGAAATGGCACCGCAAATGAAACCATTATATTGTTTACTTTTTTTATCTGCTGTAGAAGAAAGGTTTTTCTTGAACATTTTGATTCTTTTATTTATATTTGCTAGTATCATCACAAAGTTATTTTAAAATTAAATTGAGAATGGAAATGGGGAATGTGTCAAAGAGATAACAACCCGACCAAAGAGCAGAAACGAGCGCAAGGTTACCAATGGATATTCATTACAGCGAGAAAATCCCGGACCCAGAGGCTTGCTTCCGCTGACCCCTAAACAATAAAGTATACTAGTTAAAATCATGGAATTTGAAAAGAATATTTATGTGGTAATTGAATTTAACACATTACTCCATCTTTATAATTTACAAAATCTTTTACAATGTAATAATAAGAATTTGTATGATTGTCAATGAGACAACCTTCCACCAGAGACCGACATTGTTGAGGTTAGCAACTAGTTGACGGTATGCCCTTCAACACAGAGCAATATCCACATGCATATATATATATATAAATTTGATTGTCATTAAATTCTACAGGAAAGCAATGACTTATAATAAGTGGAATGTATTGAAACGTTCATTTTGTTTAGTTAGTATGAATATAGCATCTTACAGGTTCATTTGAATGATATAAATTGGTGTTGTTTTTGAAAGACAGTCTTTTGTTAATTTTCACCATGTTGGATACACAAATATTTATGTTTGTATATATAAGCTTTGTACATGCGTTTATGCTTTACATACGTTTATTTAAAACAACATACAATGCATCAATTATAACTTACATTAAACATGGATGCATGCCTGTTCAAAGCTGATGCATTTTTTTATGTTCAGCAGGATCATATTTATTTGATCAGACTACACTAAGTTGTAGGTTTTGCTACAAGTTAACCATTTTTTAATTGGAAAAGGGGTGAAAAGATTAAACTGGGTGTCAGAGAACTGATTTAGAAGCTAGGTAGGCTAATATAAGAACGAGGATATGAGATATATAAAATATCAAGCATCTAAGCTATGTAAATTCTTATCGCTCGCTTGCATTAATATTTCAAAAATAATATCGCTCGATAGTACAAAATTCTTTCGCCTGCCAAAAATCAAACTTCGAAAAAAAAAAACAAATGAGAAAATGTCGCTCTCTCGCTACCCTTTTTCAAAGCAAAGAGTCCGAAGAACTAGAAATTAATTTGGTGTGGCCTTAGGAAACATAACATTCATTGACCGCAACATAATTTAATCCGTACTATCTGACACCTAAAGAGACATTTATCACTTGAAAATTGTTTAAACTCTTTTTTTTATCTCCATATAGGAGTTATGAGTAAAATTAATAGGTTTTGAAATTTCGACAAGCGGTTTTAGAAATTAAAAAAAAATAGTCATATTATCATACATTAACTACGACAGTAAATTTTCATCTCAAATCTTGGTTTGTGTATTGTTAAGGAAAAACTTTTTTAGAAGTAATAAAAGACTTTAAATCAAAAATGTGTGCACCCAAAGTACTAAAGCCAAAAAAGTAATCAATTAAATTTTATTTCAATTTAAATTTGAATATTTTAAGAAAAATATTTAGATTTTGATTTTTTTATTCAAATAAATAGGTTTTTTAACTAAACAATTTTGTAAAAGGCAGCAATATAAATTCAACAATATCGTATTTGTGATTTTATTCAAACATATTGTAAAAATCTAATTAATGTATGTCCCCAGGTCACATCTTTATCAGCAGGTATAATATATTTGGATTTATAACTTTCACAGGGGGTGCCAAAATTAACTATAAACAGTAAAATGTATCCAATTTCCTATTTCCAAATACATATCAAATTATCAACATATATTTTAATAGCTTCCATAGCTAATAACCTAAGGATGTAAGTGCAGTGTAAGCAAATCTGTAAACGGAAAATGGCTCGAAAGAGGAAGTTCTATCTATGTATGATAACCCTGTATTAGTAAATGTTGAAACAACAATCCAATAAAAAATAGTGATGTCACTGCGTTCCAAGCTGGAACACAAGTTGTACAAACAATGGTTGAGAATAATACTAAGTTAAAAAAAAATGTTAGTGTATTTACTGGTAATTAGCTTTGCAAAGTTGCATCAAGGTTTAGAAATAAAGACATTAGGCCACACAAATTAATTTCTAGTTCTTCAGACTATTTCCTTTGAAAAAGGTAGCGAGCGAGCGAAATTTTTTTATTTGTTTTTTTGGCAGGTGAAACATTTTTTTACTAGCGAGCGCTATTATTTTCGAAATATTAAAATAATAAAATCTATGAAAAGCATTTTATGCAAGCGAGCGATCAGAAATTTACAAAGTTTTAGTGTTTCATGTTTTCTCATATGCTTCTCATATCCTGGTTCTTATATTATCCTACTTTGCTTCTCTATTTGTTCTCAGACACCCTGTTGAATCTTTTCACAACATTTCCAGCAAAAATATGGTTACATTGTAACTAGTAGCAATTTTTATCATGCTTTTTTTATATCTAGTTATGGTGATCATTTTGGCTCTTTATATGTTAAACAGTTTCTATCTATAAAAGTTCTCACGGCAAACATACTGAAATTGGTCAAATGTCATAAGCTATGGACAATATTTCATAAAAAGGGGTCGTCTGACAATTTTGATGTAAGAATTGTAAGTAGATTTTGTTTTTTTTTCTGCAAACTGATGGTATTAGTTCATATTGGCCAGGTGTAATAAAAATATTAGGTTCAATATCTGAATCATATCCGTTGCAAAATCTCAAATTTTATAATGAACGTCAATATATGATACGGCACAATTGTAAATTATCTACAGAAGTAAAGCCACCACCGAAATGTAACCAATAAGATGAAAACCAAACAGCGCATCTTCATTTTTGCGCAAGATGTGAAGTATTACCAATAAGTTCGTCATTGGCGACTCTACAACACTCGTTAAGATCAAGAACAGTAATCAATAGGGATGCTCTTTTGATCAGTTGTAAAAGCTAGCATACTCGTATTCCAAAGTAATGGAAAAAAGCTGATAGCTGAGAAAAGCAATAACACGTTACAACTCATCACTGCCATTTTTTTTAATTCATTCAACAGATTGAAAAAAAAAATCATAGTATCGGCAAACAGGAAGAACTTGTTTCCGAATCCCATATTTGAATTTCATGTAACATTGTACTTCTTCATTGTTATAATTTTTCATTAATGAATACTGTTTAAACTAAACAGGAAGAAGATGTCGGACAGATCCGATTAATGTTCACCAAGATGTCGGACAGATCCGATTAATGTTCACCACTGATCAAATATGAAGTCATTATGTCCAGCTGTACTTGAAATAAATTATGACTGAAATATTTGTTGGACGAACGGACAAACAAACGAACAAATGGAAAAGGTAATTGCAATATAGTCCCCTTCTAGAGTAGGGGTGTAGTTACTGTTTTTTTTCTAACCCATATTTTCTAAAGCTTTTACTGTTTTATTATTGAACTGACTATGTATGAAATAATTGCCATTGGACGTTAAATAAAATAAACACTCGATCAGGAAATGTCTTCGTTATCTCAGCACTATATTAATAATAATGCTTTCATTTAACTATGTAAACTTGTGTAAGAGACCATTTGTAAATGTCATGTCTGCAAATACAATTATGCTGTTTTCAAATGAATGGTGTTTGTTCTTATGTAACGGCACCACCGTCTAAAATTAGGGAGAAGATTGAACGCTCATTTTGTCATGCCTGGCGCAAGCCAAAAACCAGTTACCCAGTATATACATCATGTGTTGCTGTCTGTCATCAGTTTTCCTTTTGTTGTTTTAAGATAAAAGCAATGCAAGAATTTTGTCAGACATCGATGCATTAACCCAACAAGAAAAAATGCATACTTTATATATAAATTTATTCGTATCAAAAATAAGGAATGGTAAATGTGTACGTTGACTGAATGATGAATATGATATTTACAATGTTTTTAGTCAATGGTGATTCAAAGTGTCAAATTGTCAATGTTTCAAAGTTTCAATCTAATATCTTTGATGTGTACTTTTCCTAAGCACGTATGCAGCATTTTATACCACAAGACTCCGTTTTCTCAACATTACCAATCTGTTGGGAGCTTACTTCTGCAATATTCTACAATATTCAGCTACCAGGCGACAAAAAACTAGAACCTTGTCGTTGGATTCGCTAACTACTAACTGTACATTCTCCAGTACTGACAATTCTTCTTGTGGAGGGGGTTCAAATCTTTAAAGTCTAGTAGTAACGTGTATTGCGTAATTTTCAATCAAAATCCAGTACAACTTCATTGACTGGTTTCGATTTTCTTCTAAAAAGTTTACTTAAAAGTCCCTTGGGTCCTTTAGACTGTTTTACTCCTCCTTTTGAAATTTCAAGTGTGGATTTGTCAACAACTTCTGGACTGAGTTTAAGTTTAATCTGTTTCAGAACACCGACAAGAAGTTCATCAACTTGGTGATTGAAGGTTGCTGATGTTTCGGTGTATTTACAGTTGTATTTGATGGCGAGTTGTTTTGCTTCTGAAATATAAAGGGATAGAAAAATGAAGACTATATAAGCTCAAACTTTTGGATTCTGTCACTGTATTGAATTTGTTGAATAATGGCAAACTTGTTTAAATTTTATCAAATCAATAGAGATAATATATTTAAAGTTTATTTCAACAGCTAGTCACATTTACGTTTGTTACACTCCTGTTTCTTATTAGGGAATAGTAAAGCATTTCCACAGACATTGAATTCCCTGTCTCGTGTTATAAAACTGTCGTTGGTGTGATGTATTTATTTTCGTTACATGTGACGGAAAATTAGCAAGCCGTTGGTTGTTGTTGCTTTTTTGATTTTCATATCTAAAGACCTGTGAATCTTTTATATCATTCATAATTATACCTGAAATAGCGTATTCCCTATCTTTGGAAGCCGCAAGGCTTTTTTTATGAATATTTGTAGCTGTTGTATTTAATAGTCAAACCACTTAACAGAGCACTGATAGAATTAAAAGTTCAAAAACCGCAAAATAAAAAACTTCAAAATGACAGGTCTTTCTAAAACCACGAAATGTGTTATCCACAAAAATAAAGTTCAAAATGTAGCAGTAACTAATAGAAGGTTGTTGTGCATTTGGAGAAGTTTTAGTAGTAGTTTAGTAGTAGTAGTACAGGATAAACCATCAAACTAATAGCATTAAGATAGATGGGGTGTCTAAATTATAATCCATGATAGAATTTTTTAATAATTTGCCAAAATGTAGTTTATATCAAGCTTTTTAAAAATAAATGATAAAAAGAATGGGTCACGGGGCTTATTTTCACGCTACAGGTTGTTCAAAATTAACAGATTTTGCATAGATTATGCATGGAAAACCCAATTTTCTGCCATAAAACGAAAACTACACCATAGAATTTTGAGATAAAATATGAGAAGATAGCTTTAATAGTATGCTTTCAGGTAAGAAAAAGAAAAAATTGGGTCACCGGACCCTTTTTCTTGCTACATAATAAAATAGGTAAATTCCTAACACATTCTATTGTAAAAGTACCTTTATCTGAATTATCTGCCCTTACATTTGAGTTGCCTCCCCTCATGTGGCAAAGTTGGAAAAAATTGAATCAAACAAAAGTTTTCTGTTTTTTGTAAAATACAACCATAAATATGATAAAACATGTCATTTTCTATATAGAAATGAAAATATTCTTACACATGAATTACCTACTACTCTCAAAATTTGCACATTCTATTAAAGATCTAGACCGATTGTTTTCAGGTATTACAAGATCCAAGATGGAGGAAGACACCCTATCTACCTTAACTTCGATTACAACAATATTTTAACAACGTTTTGCTTGTACTTCAATTTGCTATGTTAAAGACACCAATATCAAAATATGTAACCTTACCTTCGGAAGCTATTTGTCTTTTACGGACTAAATCCACCTTGTTTGCCACTAAAATAATAGCTCTGTCTATAAAGAGTTCATGTCTAAGGTAAGTGAGGTACTTTGTAGCCACATCAAATGATTGTCGCTCGTGGACAGAAAAGACAACAATAAATGCGTCACAAGCATGACAGGTATTTCTCTCAATGTCTTCCTAAAAAAGATTATAATTTGAAAACAAAATATAAAATTGAAACACCCAATAAAAGTCTTCTATAAATTTACGATTTATATTTTCTAATATTGAAAGCATAAAAGTTTACAGTATGTTGAAAATACAAAATTACCTTTTAAAACCACATTTTTTTTCTTAGGTGATTGTGTTACTTATAGTACATTTCTTTGTTATGGTTAAGCTGTGTTGCATATTGCATGTATAAAAACAACCATTATCTAGTCATTAACTGTCAAAGATAGAAATTAATAGCACCTTTGTTGCATGAATCATATACATAATTAGTTTTCTTATCACGCAAGATAAGCAAACATCTAAGAGATACGATGAGTCAATGTGTATATTCATTCATTACAATTGACATTGATACAAAGGTGAAGTGTGCACAATTAGAATCGTTGAAGGGTGAATAACATTGAGACGACTGATGCTAGTAGTATACGCTATCTTAATTTTCACCTAGATGGCGTAAATGAAATTGGATACCCTGTATTTATCATGCCTTTCAATATGGCTAAAAGACCCCCTCCTAAATTATTGGAAACTATCATTCTGCATTGACAATAATATTTTGGTGCAAATTAGATAAACTCATTCGGCCTAACGCCCTCAAGGTGTATCTAATACTAATTAATACTGTTTAATCAGAATTTGACTTTGTAAAAAAAAAACTTCAAATAGTAACATACCTTGTGTTTTGAGAAATCAATGAATTCTAAAGTCGACTCTTCGTTATCTATGACCACTGTTAATGTCTGTTCGTCTAGTTCGTCTGGAAGGAAGAAAGTGAGATTTAAATATTTCATTGTCTTGATTTTGACATAAATTAAGTCAAATCATCCAAATTAAGATTTTTACCTATTTTTTTTTTAAAACATTATAAAGCAATTATTATTCAAAGCAGATATAATTGATTGGTTGAAGATTGCTTTACGCCGCATCAGCACAACGCTGCGAGAGCTTTTTCAAAGCAGATATAACATACATTGAAATTTTTAAAGGTTAATTATTCATATTTTGTTTTTGCTTTCATTTCTACTTTTCTTTTCACACAAGGTAAAAAAATGATACAATTCTACAAAATATTAGAAAAATATTATATAAGTTTCTTAAAATAAAATATATACATGTATATCGTACCATTTTCAATGTCAAACGAACATAATAGTTCTGACGTCATGAACTGATTGGTCAAGGCTGTTTTACCAACTGCGTCAGCTCCCATCACACACACACGATAGTATCCAGTAGATGAAGTAGACGAACATCCACAACATATGGCGCTATCATCGGATGTTTCGCTTGATAGACGTTTTCGAAAAAGTTCTTTCTGTGAAACCGCTGAATAAATACTAGCATTACTTTGTCGGCGTTCATCTTCTATGTCGTTTTTAATACCCTTTGATGTCATTCGGAACGATCTTACTTTTTTGACTTTTTGTCTTTTATGCACAAGATGGTCTGAAAACGAACCAGACAGTGCCATTTCGGTTGTAATTGGAAGGCTGTTTCGTCGTTTGTCGTCGTCAAAGTCCGCAAGTAGTGTTGGTCGTTTCTTGTATTTTATGGAAGATGTCCGCGAATTCGGTTCGGATCGCATTTCAAATTCCTCGTCCAAAAACTGTTCACTAGAAAGTTTTCCATCTTCATAGTAGTTATCAACAGATTCCATAATATCCTGTTTAATCATTTGAAACGAAATTGACTGTATGTATTGTCTGATATCTTGATATGGCTCGCTATAGTTCAACTTTGAGCTTAGACGCATCATCCATGCTTTTATACTCAAGAATCATACCCGAGCAAACACCACTGACTCATTTTGAACTGTCAATCATTGTACTTTTGACGTCATAGTACAATAACATTGCTTGATGGGATAATTAATTCTTGAAGATGCAATGCCAGCAGTTAGTGCATTGTTATGACATAAGATAAGTTGAGGAAGTATCTGATATATAAACAACTGCCCAGGTAGATCATTATATCTCAATTATTATGCTATCTTTCGTATTAACCCTGCCCGATCGGTTATAAAGAAGTAATGCGAGATATTAACTTGAGGCCAACTCAAGGGTATTTTTATATTTTAGCAAAGTAAACTAAATTTCGCATGTATGATGATGAATTAGATGTTTTATTTTGATAAATCTAAGAACAAACCCTTTACTAGTATATGAAAGTTTGTTTGTGTAGAATACAGTAGGTTACAAGTCTCCCGTGTGTATTGTTAGGGCCTCAAATATGTAAAACTAAATATATTGCAGATTTGCTGCACTATAATTGTCCGGAAGAATAATGATAATATATCTCGTTACTTTATGTCACTGAGGACAAAACGTTATGATCAGACTTAGATGCCAAGTACATAAAACAAATGTCATTAAGAACATTTACCTACTGATATAGGTGCATAGACTGCCGAACACTTTTAGTACATTACTCTATCAATTTATATCAGCTTTATAATAAAAGATTATATTCAATACATTACATATTGCATTTTAATTTAATAATGGTATCTGAATTTCACTTATGAAACAAATTGTGCACCTTCTTAAAAGCTATATTAATAACTTCATTATTCATTCCAGTTCATTTAAACATAATTCATTTGCTATTAAGTATAGCAAAAAGGAATAAACACAATTAAGTTATCACAACTTATATAGTCCTTTCCTAATCATGATTATTTAAAATATATCATTCATTTTTGCAAAAGATTAACGATATATATTATTAATTAGTTAAATACTTATGTTAAACTACTACAAATGCTGATGGTATACAGTAAGCTTTATAAGCTCTTAATGTAAGTTGGGACAAATCTGCAATGTTTGATCGCAAAGGATGTCCAGATTTTACTGAAATCTCAAATTTTGATGATGCAAACTTGCAATGTATTTGAGGAGACTTTTATTTGAATATGAAATTGTATGATTATGTCTAATAATTAATGGTTATACGGTATTTACAAGTAGCAAGTTTTTATTGAATAAATTGTTTTTTTTAAACTTTGATTAATAAAGGAAGATAACTCATAAGATCTAGTTTGTATCTCGTTTACGACCAAAGTTGCAGAAGCGACACTTTGGCGTTCAAGTCTATTTCCGACTTCGTCGTTATCAATAGAACATTAAGTTTTAATTAGTTATTAACTATGTTTTCTTTTTAATTTTCTTAAAGCGTTCTATAAGAGCTATCTTTTCATATTTTATAAAAATTTTTATTTTTATAGTCACATACACGTGCTTTTCCATGTATAATCCTTACTAAATACGAAACAAGCTGGGAGACTATACTTTATAATTATTATTTAAAAAAAAAAGGACGACAATAATCTTTTTTAACAAAGTATAAAAAATCCTATCATTTTTAGTTTATTAAATAAAATTTTCCTATTACATGTTTGTTAACGTCTTTATGAAAATAACGAACTTCGTGTTGCCTTGCCTCAACATTCAAGAAAATATATATCGTAACTTGGTAACAGTTTTTCTAAATAGTCTGAAAAGGGCGTCAATAAAATATTGATATTATGTTTTGCTTTTTAACACAATTTTGTTATTTTATTGAAGTGACGTAATGGAATGATTTTTGAAGTTTCCTTATTCTATTTAGATTACAAAGTCAGTGTTGTCTTAGCCCGAAAGCCAACTATACGATTTTGGTATATGTAGTATAGGAGTTCTCTGCTATCTTCGATCGCAAATGACCGAGAATGATTGGTCAAATATTTCAATAAATCGTTGTCAAATCCTATCCCAGCACCCCAACTCCATAGATCGCAAGGTGTTTCGAACATCTATTTCGACCAATTAGAATAAACTAATTGACCATAGTCATGTCCATCGTCAGGAGCCCAAGCCATTGCATGGTGACATTTAATGTTAAAAATACTGTAATTTTTATAAGGGGCTCGACACCTCGTGATCTGTTTGACTAATACTTTTCTATGCTCTTTCTTTTCTTTCCATGTTTATCAATTTTACACAAACATAGTATAGAATATATTTTCATAATTTGCAACATGTTAGTTGCAGATGTTACTGTGTCTTTCAAGTTTTTATGCCTACGGAAAGCGAAAAGAGGTCTTTTATGAAATAAATGTTTTTCCTCTCCGTCATCTTTTAATTTTCCCAGTGTTTTAAAATATTGTTCTTTAAAGTGTGTTTTCTGTTGAAAACACTGTGGAGAATACCAAGGGAGGCGACTGTAATACAGATTTGGGTTTAACCAATAATGTGTCATTTCTTTGTTTTGCAGTCACTTCCTGCATAACAGTTTTAATTTCATTTTCTTTATATCCCCTTTTAATAAGGCGTTCAGAAAATAACGCATATTGTGTCTGTAAATCTACTGGATCGTTCGTACATCTCTTAAAGCGAAGCATTTCTCCTTTAATTATGCCTCTGAAAGTAGAGGATGGATGGCATGATGACCTCTCTAAGTACTGATAAGTTTCAGTTTTTTTCCGGAATGTCGAGACTGAAATAAGCAAATGTTGATGTATACATGCATTGTTCTTAAAAACTTTGCTTTGTTAGGAGAGGTAACTCAAATTATTATGTGAAAACAAGTATGACTGAAATTTTCTTTTTATTTCATGAAAGCATTTGATGAGAGCTATGTTCTCACATCATATTTTAGAATCCGTGTTCCTTTATTTTCTTTCAAATACGAGAATGCTGCACATAATGTATCTTCAAAACAAGCTCGGTTTACCTTTTATATGTTTTTGAAAAAGGAGAGAATTGAACCACATTTTGGTAAAAGTATAAACCATCATTTTTTGCGTAAAGTTTCATACTAACTTTTAATTTAAAACAATATTTCTTAGTCCATGCGTGCAGTAATCGTGAAATAGCATCATCAATTTTGGTTATGGTTTAGTAAAGAACGAGAAATTTAAAATGAGAGTTAAAATTGGCACAGCATTTTGAATGATTTATATTAATTGTTGGATTGAATGTTGACTGGAATATATATTGCCAACATGAAACCACTACAAATGACTTGTCAAAAGTATGTTTTGGTGTGCAAAGTGCATGTATAGTACTCTCTTTACATACATTTATGAATTCCGCAGTAATAAACCTCGAACCAGACGCTACTGCGGTTGTATTTTTAGACTGTGGTGGTACATATAGACATTCTAGTATATAAAAATCCAGGGTATCCTTTAGTACATTCGGTTGAATTAAAATCGTATATATTGTACATACAAAGCGTTGATGTATTGTTCTCAATATATGATTTGCTATTCACAATATTTGAACATGCGAGGATTTTAATATTTAAGAAAAAAGGTATATGTTGAAGGCCGTACTTTGACCTATAATTGTTAACTATTTTATACATTGTGACTTGGATGGAGAGTTGTCTCATTGGCACTCATACCACATCTTCTTATCTATGTATATGAGCATTTGTATACAATAAAAAAATTGGGAATTCATTTTATAACTACACGTTCACGCAAGAGATCCACAGGGAAAACGTACTGAAAAGAGGGTTGAAATTATTGAATTCCAACAATAACAAGTAACAGACCATTCAAAATTATAAGACATTTAGACAATGAAACAATTATTCAACAATTAATGCATGTAGATTTTATAATTCATTTTAATACAAGACATACTAGTAAGTACATCGTTGTTTATGTTTTGTTTAGTTCAATCGCCGGTTTATTTGCTGCACAGACTGTTTACTCGGTGTTACATAATAAAACAACTTGTATTGTATACTATTATACAGCTGATTTATAAGATAAACATGTTCATACATCTAATTCTCAAGGTAAACAATGATGAACATGTATATAAACATGTAAACAAGTGGAATATTGAATAATTTATATTGTTCTGTCTGAGATTTATGCAACACCCACCGGTAACTGTGTCTGGTGTTATCATCATTGTTATTACAGTAAAACGTAATGGAAATTGAAGGACACGGACGTTTCATTGAAATGTCTGACAATATCAAGTGAAAAAACTGAATTGGCCTTTTGCAGCGTGCTCGCAAGTAGTTTATGACATCGAGCCGTACAGGTTTTGCTCTCTTTCCTAAATTCCTCATGCTTGGTGATCTTGAAGAAGCAACAAATTTACACCAATTTAAAAAGGGGAACCTTCTCCTTTTTACCTGTAACATCAAAGAACATTTGCGCTCCTAACCATATGGACATTTGCGTTTAAACTTTGATACACCTGTATTAAATTGATAGGACATTGGCGCTTTTACCTATAAAATTTTGATGAGCTGTAATCTTTAAGCAAATTAAAATCAACTGATATTTAAACAAAAAGCGGAAACTATAATATTTCTCTTGTGTTCATACTATTGGCTGGAAAGTCCGAGGAAATCTATCAATATTGTTTATATGAGCTTATTTCAATTTGTGGAGATACAAAAATGATTTTTAAACCAACGACTGTTTGTAGATCTCTGGCTTGTATTTGTTTGGGTTTGATCATTCCCGATACAGGTAAAGCAAGAAAAACGCTTCGGACATACGAAATTCATCAAGTATATTTTTGTGTACAGTTCATGTTGACTTCGAGAAAAATTCATAATAATCATTATGTATTTATTTTCAATGGATGAAATGTTCTCGTTTTCATCTGACACAAGCATCGTAGCGAAAGGTTCAGTTATTAGGACACTCTAAAGAATACAAATTGTACATGTGAAGAAGGAACATGATTACATAAATTTCGTCCAGTCGGGTAAACGTGGAGGTAAATCATAATGCACCAAAACTAAAGTATTATGTTGATTAAGCGCAAATTGAAAAAGCTCAACTGTCCTGTAGAAAAAGCGCAAATGTCCGAAGAATTGAAGCGCAAATGTCCTATAAAAGAGCGCAAAAGTCCTTCGACGTCTAGGGGATGGAAACCGTTCTAGACAAGCAAGGAACCATTTGAATAACATATAAGCTGTGATAAAAACATAGTTAATTTCTATCTTTGAAAAGGACTCTTGATTTTGTACCATCAAATTACGAAATTAACATATAGACCATCAAATTACGAAATTAACAAAGACCATCAAATTACGAAAACAACACATACCATTAAATAACGAAAATAACATAGACCATCAAATTACGAAATTAACACTTTTATTGTCAACTTGAACTTTGACTAACCCCTTGTTTAATATCCAAACAGCTCATTTACATTATTAGGTTCCCAAATGATGAGGATTATGCATGAACATTCACATTTGTGAAAACATAGCCTGCAGTCGAAACGAAACAGAACTAAAAAATCAGGTCAAATTAAACTGTTTCAGTAGTTTAATTTAAATATGATAACCGAAAATACTTGATAGAAATAGATTGAAAGACATAATTATTTTCTACATGTAAATTGCAGTATGAAACTTTATCCCCAGTTCATTATCGCCACGACATACATGTAATAGCCTTTGTGTGCTAAGGCGGTGTAAAGCATACACAAATCACTCGAGCGATCCCCAACTCATGTTATGGTAAATTGCCGAAGGAAATCAATGAGGTATCATTAAAACTTCCCATGTTTGATCTCCTTGAATTCAAATTGAAAGAAAACCAAACATGATATATAATATCTTTTCCTTTTGATTTATGTAGATACACTGTATGTGTATTCATTTTGAAATTCTAAGATCAGGGCAGTTATATCTATCTGTCATACAATTCCTCTGTGAGCAACCTGGGAATAGTATACTCAATGTATTATGTCCCAGGAGCAACCAACAATAAACGTTTTATATGCGTATGTATACGTAATAAACAACAACTTAACTGGATGTTTGCATTTACTTGTCATCTATTGTCATCTATATATATAATGATAGTGATCATCATTGTTTTTATTTATCATCCTGTTTGTTTTGTATTTGTACATCACTGAAATTGTCACATGTTTCTAAAGATTTGGGAATATAAGGGAGGCCGTGTGAACCATTCGTGTCATAGTTATCGATTGTTGGTAATTCTTGTAGCTCTTTTTTGTGGTTAACCAGATGGTAACACCAGCATGTTATAGCACGTCCATTGGATACGACATTTATTTTACGTCTGTCAAGAATTTCTGCTTTTCTCTCTAAGATATCTAAACAGTTTAACATGCTATCATCCACTTCATAGATTTCACCGACAACATTCTGAATACAAACATTAAAAGCTGTTAGATTTAACCTTGTATTTTAACAAATTTAGTATTAATATTCTCTGCATTTAAACATGTATATCTAATGTGGTTATTAAAAGCACGCATATATGAATATTATAATTTCCACACTAACTGAATACAAGAACCACAAAAAACTAAATACTGAGAACCATGACCCTCCCAAGTTTATTATGCTGAAATTTGTTTTTGTATCTTTATATCCATTTAGAATATTACTCTGTATATGAATTGCAATGAGGTAAAAAAAAAAGGAAATATTGGAAAGGCAAATATAGTATTTTAAGGGTTACACTTTTTTTGTGCGTGGAGATTTTTACCCCTGGAAAGAGCTTAATTTCTAAATCCCTTACGTTGTTGCCTGTTCTAATTTCGGTAAACTTTTTAAATGAATAAATTTTTCAGCAGACATTTGTTTACTCTCTGTTTGTATTTGAGAAAAGTGTGATCAATATCTTTCATTAACTGTCCCGATAAACCAACTCACAAACGTTTTAGATCCCAACGAATCTATATTATACCGGAACTAATTGTCCCTATATCCTAGTAGTGTATAAGGGTACATAGTTCCTGCGGGAAAATGTTTAAGGAGTAAATCTGTTTAAAGTCGGTTCTGAAAAAAATCGTCGAATTCGCAAGTTATGGAGTAAAGTAAATATATGTGTGACCTCCTAGTCGTTACTTTCTGTCTTTATACTGGTCTTCATATTAGTTGTATTTTAAGCTTTGTATCAATCCCTTTTCAACTGGTTTTTACAGTTAGTTCTTACATAATAAAAACGAAAGGATATGGGCTATTCATCGATGTCACAAAATCAGAACATGCACAGTAAAAACACAAAAATCAAAGGAACAGCGCTTTTATTGATTTATGTTGCACTTTAACACCACTGTCCCAGGTTAGGGGTAGGTGGGCGCCTGCAAACATGGTTAGCACCGCCAAGTACGCTGTGTGCCTGTCGTTGGTTTTGTCTTTTGAATTTATTTGCATTTGTCATGTCGGATCCTTTTACAGCTTGCAATGCGGTATGAGTTTTTCTCATTGTTAAATCCCGTAGGGTGACGTTTATTTGCTAACATGTACGTCATTTTGTCTCTGTTGGATAGTTACCTCACTGACAATCATACCACATCGTCTTATTATATGTAATAAATATCTGACTGGCTAATTTTCTGGACCGTGGCAACATATTTTTACTAAAAGTTTTATTATTTCCCCTTTGGAAGTTGACCTTAGAAGTAGACCGTTTTGCCGATTGACGTTGGCGTGATAAAGAATTCGACACTTGTCTACATCAGCCCATCCCCTCTTTTATACTATCGTATAGACCCGGGATAAATGAACATTGAAATTAACTGAAAATAAGTCATTTGAAGATACCTGTTTTCAGATATTTTATGCTTTTGAATTATATCAGTAAATAGATACTCATTTTCGTTATAACTACAGACAGAAGCATATGCGATCCTTCTTATATATTGGGGAAATATGTGTATTTATGAACGAAACATTTGTAAATGGCTCTGCACAATGACGACAGGGTGTTACTTGATATAGCGTAACTTAGTTAAATCAACAATTGTGCATTTAATACACCTTAAAACAAAATCGCTGATGTTTCGGCTATTTATATAGAAGTGTGTTATATTATTATCCTGTATAACGATACGCAGTTACTTTAATGATGATTTGTAACTCAGGATCTATCTAAAATACACTAACAATTTAATCATGAATACGAACGTTCAAATAATATTAATATCTGATGCAAAAACAATCAAATAATAAAGACAGAACAAAACTCAATTAGTTTGAATCACTTTTGCGGTGGCAGAATGTGGCCATGAATGAAAAATAAATATGTAGTTCGCTCGAGATGCTACATTGTATGTCGTTCCCTCAAGAAAGTTATATCGTTCCCTCAAGATGCTATGTCGTTACCACAAGATAGTTATCTCGTTCCCTCAAGATGCTATGTCGTTACCACAAGATAGTTATCTCGTTCCCTCAAGATGCTATGTCGTTTCCACAAGTTAATTATCTCGTTCCCTCAAGATACTATGTCGTTCCCTCAAGATGCTATGTAGTTTCCACAAGATAGTTATCTCGTTCCCTCAAGATACTATGTCGTTCCCTCAAGATGTTATGTTGTTCCCTCAAGATAGTTATCTCGTTCCCTCAAGATATTATGTCGTTCCCTCAAGGTATTATGTCGTTCCCTTAAGATATTATGTCGTTCCCACAAGATTGTATTGCTATGTTGTGGGAACGACATAATATCTTGAGAGAACGACATAATATCTTGAGGGAACGACATAGTATCTTGAGGGAACGAGATAACTATCTTGTTGAAACGACATAGCATCTTGAGGGAACGAGATAACTTTCTTGTGGGAACGACATAGCATCTTGAGGGAACGACATGGTATCTTTCATGGCCGCATTCTGCCACCGTATTTGCGTCTCTAACCTTGAGTCATTAAAATATTGATTCAACACTCCACTATCAACTTGATTCGACACTTCACTGTCATTTTCATGACCTACTATCATGATTTTTCCCGGTCTCACTTACGAATACGCTCACATGTAATAGATGTACACAATGTACCACATTATTACCCAATCAGATGTTAAGAAAGCCTTTACTTAATACGGAACAAGCTAATATTTACCAATGAGAATCCCTTAACAGATTTACCCCATTGTGACCTGCAGCGTATGACTATTTAGACCGGGCCTCATGTGACCCGGTTATACTAGCCATTCCACAATACAAAGTTATATGATTTTTTTAAAAAAGATTTTACTATTCTACTTTTTTCGTGTTGGTGCAGCTAAACAATATTTAATCTAAGCACAACAGACTATGAACAAAGAAATATTTCTGTATGGAACGTTTTATATGACCTACCGAATTAGACTTATTACCGGGTTTGTACTAACATGAGCAACACGACAGGTGCCACATGTGGATCAGGATCTGCTTACCCTTCCGGAGAACCTGAGATCACCCCCTGTTTTGGCGAGGTTCGTGTTGCTCAGTCTTTAGTTTTCTATGTTGTGTTTTGTGTACTATTGTTTGTCTGTTGGTCTTTTTCTTTTTTAGCCATGGCGTTGTCAGTTTATTTTCGACTTATGAGTTTGAATGTACCTTTGGTATCTTTCGCATCTTTTTTAAACATTCGGAGAACTCGAGAAATATTAAAACAGGAAGTAAGTAATTCGGCCCGTATAAAATATAAAAATAAGGAGATGTGGTATGATTGCCAATGAGAAAACTATCCACCAAAGTTCAAATGAGGTGGATGTAAGCAATTATAGGCAACCGTACAGCCTTCAACAATGAGAAAAATCCACACCGTATAGTCGGCTATAAAAGACCCCGACATGAAAAATATGAAACAATTCAATCGAGAAGTCAATTATCAATATTTCATGGACTTCCAAGTTGAGATTTCCTTGTTAAGTATTAACAACCCCGCTTATCTTTGTTAAACATAATACTCTAGATCTTACAGTATAATACATGTACAAACGAATTATTTACAAGTCATCCGTCTTTATTTTATGTTATAATTGTTTAAATTACACTGTGACGTACAAGGATATTAGGAAAGAATATTCTGGCCAGGTTAGAATGGAAAAAAGTAATCTTGCCCAAAACAGATGGACAATAAATAATTTGCCCCACAAAATGCAATAAATAAAGATATACAAAAGTGCACAAAAACAAATTTTCGGGAGAAAAAAAATAGATGAAACTTGGAAAAGGGCGAAATTAGATTTTCCATTTAAAAAAAAATCTTCCGCCCCCAAGAATATCATAAAATTATGGTCGTCCCCTTAGGCTTACATGGAAAAAATAAATCTTAAAATATAAAATTAAGCTGTGTTTTGAACCGGTTCTATGAATGCTTGGGGTGAAGATAGACAGACCCTATAGAAACAAAAACAGCACAATAATTACAGACAAATACTTTCTTTAAAAAAGAGTGGTTCTTGTCTCCGGTGAATCTTGCGTGTAATTCTAAAGAGTAGTATACAGAGTATATAAATTTCGTTGAAATGAATACTACCTTGCCTTTACCTGCCACAGGTAACATGAATGGAATGTTACACCTGCTCGCTATAACAACGGGAAACTTTTCTTCCGTAATCCCATCAGCCAGGTATACTGCCAAACCGTTGCTTGCATCCTCCAGTAAGTAAAAGTTTGGTTGACCTCTTTTGAGAGTACCAAAAACAAACACGTTGTGTGTCATGGCAGGACATTAGTTAGTACTAAATATTGACAGATAACAGTTTGTCGTGTCAAGAATTAACTTATTTACTCTTATCAATCGACATTCTAAACGTGTACACCACAGGTACATGTATAGCGTATATGTTGACAAGTGTGCATTGAAGTTACAAGAAAAGTGTAAATAAAGGAACAACATGGAATCCTTCCCCAAAAAATCAAATAATTACTTTGTGAATACTATTGCTTTTTGGTTCTTATACTGTTTCTTGGTTTTTAGATATATCATAAGAATTGACTGCTGAAACAAACAATCGAAACAAATTACAAAATGTACATTCAGCTGCTGGCTTGATTGGCTGCAAAAGTGGCTGTTACCTTGAGTCTGGTCTTTTGGTCATAGTTCTCATATAGTTCAGTAGGGGTGATTGAAATGTTTTCTTTGGAACAAAACTTGGTTGCATAAGGGTAAAAAATGTCAAACTTAATTTTTACCGCAAGATATTTTCAACAGAAAAAAAGCTTTCAAATTCTTAAATGATCATATAACCAGCAATAGAACGTATAAAGACGGCTTTGTTATAAAGTAGATGCATCATTGTTAGACAAAGTTCTGTGCTTCATTAGTGCACGTACTCCTTAATTACCTTGACAATTTGTGCATGTTTTTGTACTACACATCTTACATCTCAGTACAAATTAATGTTTGCACTCGAGATGTACCACACAATATTGTAATATATGACTAATATACTTTCTTAACTGACTTTTTCTTTGAACCAAAGTACAAAGATACTTCATTCAAATTTTAAGATGCATTGTCCATGCTTTGTAGCTTGTCTTTAATTGGATTTTTTCTTTTTTTTTTCAATTTTAGTCATTGAAATTAATATTTTTGATAAGTATATAAAACATGAATAACAGGTGATGTGGGTATACTACAGGTCAAAAATATTTGCAAAGGTTGTAAGCGTCGCTTTTTACTCAACAATTGAACGGAAAGAAAATGTATAATTATCCAGGTTTAATCTAGCCTTTAAAACTTTCTCATGCATAATATGCCCCTTTCCATAAAAATACACCATCTTTTCATGTATCAAGTTTGTATATTGAAATTCTTATTCCTCGTCTATTCCATTACTGCATTGGTCGTTGGGATTGGTTGTTTTAAAAACTTGCTAGGTGGAAATCGAATGTTTTTTAAAACATTTTGTACATAGCATTTTTGTATGACGCAATACTTTCTCGATTTATTAATGAACAGCTAATGAGAAAAAAAATAGAAGTTATAAAAGTAATTGTTAATTAGTATGGTGTGTTTTTGTCATGTATAAAAATACCGGTTAATTTGCATAACATTAACTGGATTTTATAAGATTTATTTCATTGTGTGTTTTTCTCTATACGATTTGGTATTCTGCTTATTGAAAATAGATGAGGATTAAGGACGCATAAAGTAGTCAAAATTCGCCACATCTTATTGTTTCCAACCTAGTCAGTCAATGGTTCACTGTTCAAACAAATGTTTTAATAAAAGATTTAAGTTAAACGTAATGAAGACAGCAACCATGCGACAGAAACACACATTCTAGATATAAAGTCTTCAACAAACGAACAAGGCTAGTGTTCATATAATATGCCAATCTCTGTATCGTCTCGTATATATAAACAAGTCTAAATTTAAAACAACGTTCAAACCTATATATATATATATATAGAGAGAGAGAGAGAGAGAGAGAGAGAGAGAGAGAGAGAGAGAGAGAGATACCAAAGGAATACTGATGAATTTACACAATTTTTTCTTCAGATTTGTATATTATCTTGAAAACTATAATAGATAGAGAGAAACTTTGAATAGCATGAATAATCAGAAAGACAAACCCTACAAATAAGTCAACTTGGCCTAAGTTGCCAGTCGACTCCTAATAGGCCCTTGAATGGCGAATTTTACATTTTTTTTGCATTTTTGCCTATTGTCTTGAAAACTATAATAGAATGATAGAATCTTTAAATAGCAAAAATGATCAGCAAGACAAGATTTACAAGTCAGTGTATATATCCGAAATCGTAGGGAAACTGTTTATACGAGTTATTGCCTTGGAATCTATTTTAATAGATAGACAGAAACTTTAAAAGGCAAAAATAATCAGCAAGACAAATTGTACAAATAAGTCAACATGGCGGAAATTGTTGATCGACTCCTTATACACGTATGAGTAATTGCCCCTTAATGACTATTTTTACGATTTTGGCGTTTTTGATTATTTTCTTGAAAACCATAATACATAAAGAGACACTAAGAGGAAACATGATCAGCAGGAGAAGATATAAAATTTTGTCTATATATCTGAAATCGTCGGTCGACTCCCCACAGAGGTTACTGCCCCTAAAGGTCAATTTTTACCATTTATTTTTTGCATTTTGACCACAAATATAGTAGATACAGAAAAACTTTCAGAGCAAAAATTATTAACAAGACAGGATAAAAAAAGAAGAAATCTTAGTCATGAACTATATTTCAGTCTCCAATGTTGAAAAGATACATAGATCAAGGTGAGCGAAACAGTATAAAATAAGGAGATTAATCAAACTTCAAATGAAGTGGATGTAAGCAATTATGTTCAACTTTACGGCCTCCATATGTTCTTTACAGTCTATATTTTTAATAGAATTTGCTTGGCCTTTTAAAAAGATAACGCTTACAATTTATTATGATTATTTTAGAAAAATAAATTTAAAATGAAATTATTAAATTTACATCTACTTACCGTCGATACACTAGCTATTAAGAAACCTCGTTTATTGATGTTGTCGTCGTCGTCGTCGTCCGAAGACATTTGGTTTCCAGATAATAACTTGAGTATAAGTGTATGGATTGCTATGAAATTTTATCACAAGGTTCCATATCACTAAGGAAGTTTATTGTCTTAACTGTTTATGAATTAGGGGCCAAAAAGGAGCCAAAAGCAAGTATTTTTCTTGTTTCAGGACAATAACTTGACAAAAATGTGTATAATAGTATGGATCTCTATGAAATTGTACCACAAGGTGCCATACCACAAAATGAAGGTTGGGATTGATTTAGGGGGTTATGGCCCAAACCGCTTATAGGAATTAGTGGCAAAAAAAACGGAGTTTCTGGTTTCATGATAATAACTTGAGTCTCTTTTAAATTGTAATTATTTCTTCACCAATTCCAATGGAGTTGAATTCAAAGTCTTGAATTCTTGGAGTTCTTTTTAAAATATGCTGAATCTAATCGTATATAAAGATTTTGGATTTTGGGACCCGTTTTTAAATTAGTCTACATTGAGGAAAACGTGTATAAAAAAAAAAACTGTTAGAGGTGACATTTTCAACTTACATACAAATGAACATCATTGAACTTTGTTATAAAACTGATAACGACTTTTGTTGATATTAAGCAATCTGACATTCTTGATAGATATATCTTTAGATAATGTTTATCACACAAACACAAACGTACAAACCCCCGGAGGCAAAACAACAGCTTTCAACTGTTGCAGACGTATGAATGAAATTGTTTCTATTCTGAAACATGTTTTTCGCGCGGTAAATTTACCATACATTTATTAAAAATAAAGAGATGATAATTAAAATAATATATTATAGATCATTGAACTTTGTTCAATTCAAATTAAACATCTGATAACGGCTTTTGTTGATATTAATTAAGCAATCTGATACTCTTTATAAATTATTATATATCTTTATGTTATTTACACAGAAACATAAACATATATAATAGTTATAAGAAGATATGGTATGAGTGCCAATGAGACAACTCTCCATCCAAGTCACAATTTGTAAAAGTAAACGATTATAGGTCAAAGTACGGCCTTCAACACGGAGCCTTAACTCACACCGAACAGCAAGCTATAAAGGGCCCCCAAAATGACTAGTGTGAAGCCATTCAAACAGGAAAACCAACGGTCTAATCTATATAAAAAACGAGAAACGAGAAACACTTATGAACCACATCAACAAAGTTTTAACGACAACCACTGAACATCAGGTTCCTGACTTAGGACAGGTGCAAACAATACATTATATATGCTGTGGGCAGATGGCACAAAACTCCCGGAGGCAAAAGATAACAAAGAATTAAATTGCCCCAAAACAGCATAACAGTTAAACCCCTTGCCCCCTCTTTGAATACTGTTTTGCCTTCTGTAAATATATTTGCTGTTAGCTGTAATTGTCGTATTCCTTGTTAGCTGTTATTGAACTATTAGTTTCTTTGTTATATGTTATTGTGAGAATGTATTTGCTGTTAACTGTTATTGAAAATTGGAATGTTAGCATTTTGACAGCCAATCTTTAGTAGAAATTGAATTGGGATCTTTCCACTAGTAACATGGTGGTCCCATATTCGGAGAAGGATTCAATTAACATATAGACATTTGAATGAGTTTACAGTACACTAGTCATTTTTGGGGCCCTTTATGGCTTGCTGTTCGGTGTGAGCCAAGGCTCCGTGTTGAAGACCGTACTTTGACGATCTTTGACCTATATTAATGGTTTACTTTTACAAATTGTGACTTGGTTGGAGAGTTGTCTCATTGGCACTCATACCACATCTTCTTATATTTAATCAGAGGACCATTACAGTATATATTATTGTTATCCTTTGTAATTTATTCCTTTTTCTATGAACATGTATTTAGAATTATCTTGATTTTTACGTATAGGGATAACGATCCTTGTTTTCCCTGTATGTGCATATTAAATTCGAACAATTCTTTTAAAATATTACAAAAATTCGTAAGGGTTCCGCGGAACCCAGTACTAGTGTCTCGCCTACTTTTGATGTTAGTCGCATGCTCAACAAAATGGGTAAAAAGTTATTAAATAAATTGGGAATGTGTCCATGGGACACAGATGATGCCCCCGTTTGCATATCATATACAGTTATAAAGGGACATAACTGAAGAACAGTAAAATTGACCCTACCCAAATTTGTACTTGATCTGAGTTTTGTGGTAATACGTATTGTGTATAAGTTTCATAAAATTTGGTTGATGCA